ACTGCAGTCTCTGTCCTTGCTAATTGGTTCTTGCAGCAAAAATCTGCAATATATCTTCTTCCTGCTCTTGGGGAAAGGAAAAGAGTAGTTAGTAGTGTGTCCACACGTGCTGCTTCCATGGCATTTTCTTTCTTCCAGACAGAGCTTGTTGCACCAGACCTTCATTCCTACTAAAACTATGTGGTTGTGGTTTTTCTGAGAAATATTTTGAAAAAAATTGATGCAAGTATAAATATTAACAAAGATTGTGGTAAGGCTGTTCTTCATATAATGGCAATATTCCCATGATAGGAAAGAAGCTTTTTCTTTTCCCTTTCTCCTGTCATGTGCCCAGCTCTATCTAATGTTTTCTAATGCCTTCAGCATAGTCCTGAGGTCCCCCCTGCTTCTTGCAATCTCCTCATTTGTTTTCCCAATTTGTATCATCTATAATGAACGCTGAGGGAGGGAACAGCAGTTGCAGTTTGGCAGGTCAGTTTGTGAAAACAATTAGTGCTTTAAACATTGGGACTAGTCAAATGGTTTGTTTACAAGAACTTGCTGTTCTGCTATTTAAATGTAAGATCCAAGTTTTCCTGTTTTCACCCTAAATGGCAGCAGGACTTCATGTCGTCTATGATGTTCACAGGGATGTTTGATCCTGTTGTTACAACATGGATTTTGTGCTGTGGCTGCCACAGTTTCTTATGACTGATGGCTGAGTTCACCAAGCGCCTCTCCTAGAACATTTTGGAAAAACAGATAATTTTCTGTGAAATGTTCTGGTGGTGATGGCCATGATTTCATCTATATCATCTGTTTGGGATACTGGTTGTAGTATTTTCTTGATTTTTATTTTTTTCCTTTAGTGAACATTTTTATATGGCATTGGCTTTCTCTGTAGTATTGTGTATTAAGGTTCTTTGGAAATTAACAGCTTTCACCTCCATTAATGTTTAGAAGTTATTGAAATTATTCTAAAAAAAACATAAATTTGACTTTAAGAATATTTTGCTGAGACTTTCATGCTACATAAGTGGTTCACACCTGTGTCCCAACAGTGCAAGGTGCTTTTACACGTTTAGATCGTTATAGGTGGCAACTGGAGCAACTTTATTTGGAATTTGTAAAAATAAGCAGCTTTTAACTTTGATATATGTGTAATCTCCAAGCCTTTGTGATATACTGTGGGGACGTGGAAGACAGAATACTTGTTGAGGACAAGCTCCATTCTTTGAGAAGGATTGTTTTCACAGACTTTTGAAAAAATTTTGTAGACTTCAAGTTTATTGGGTTGTTTCCTCCTTCTCTAAAAAAAATAATGAGGAGAAATTATGTTGCAGCAATACTTCTATTTTTCCTTTTTTTGCTTATCAGTACAACTTCAGAATCTGTCACCAGAGAAGCATGTGTGCTTGGTGTAACCCTGGTGTTTGAATGAAATGGATCTGTACAAAGGGATAAAATGGGATCTCAGTGCTGGTGAGATATGAAATCCTGTAAAAAACTCATTTATGATTTTTGGTTGCTTCTGTAAGGTCATAGTTTTTGCTATTTGTGAGGCTCAATGTAGGAGGGTTTTGGTGCCTTTCAGATTTAGTATTCATTTAAAATATGACAAGTTCTGCATATAGACATAATAGTGAGACAACAGAGCTAAATCATGATTTAATTGCTGTAATGTACTCTCAGTAAGACCTGTTGGGCAGTTCGCTCTTGTTTTTGGACCTAAGGATGGTACATCTACATGGCAATGCCCAGTGCAGACTTACCAGCTTGGGTCAAACCCAAGCTTGGGAAACTTGGGGAATTTTCAGGTTATGCTGAAAAATGCTGTGTTGAGAATTTGGCCTGCAATGTTCATTATTTTTTGGAGTGTTGCACTGGAACAGAGTCTCAAAGACTGTGGCATTAGAACGTCTGATCCTGGGCTGCTTCTTTTGAGAGGACAGATAAAGGTATGGAGGATAACTTGGGAGTGTTGTATTCAGTGTCTGACTGCAACTTCTAATTCTGCCTGATGTGAGCTATGAAAGTTTTGTTATCACAGAATCATAGAATTGTTTGGGTTGGAAGGGACCTTTAAAGATCATCTCATTTCAACCCCCCTGCCATAGGCAGGGACACCTTCCACTAGACCAGGTTGCTGAGAGCCCCATCCAGCCCGGCCTTGAACACTTCCAGGGATGGGGCAGCCACAGCTTCTCTGGACAACCAGCACCTCAACACCCTCACAGGGAAGACTTTTCTTCTTATATCCAAGAAGTTACTCGGTCTGATGGAAATGAACCAGGGACACGTGTGCTCTGTAGATACAGAGCTTTCATAAATAGGAAGGACCCTCACCAAGCTAAAGTGAGGTCAAAGCCCTCAAGATTTTTCAGTTGAAATTGATTTTAAAATATGGTACAGTTGAGACTCTAGGGACATCAAAATGAGAGAGAGGGGGTTTCCACATTTTGTGTGCGTGAAGTTGCCTGGGTCGCTTCTCACACTCCTGTGGTCGGCAGTTGAGGGTTTTAGAGGTTCAGTCTACATGAGCCATTTCAGCAAAAACAAGGCAAAAATCTGACTTTCTCTGTAACTGTGAGTTGTATAAAGTATTTTAAAAATATATATCTTAAGATTTTGGGCTTTAAGAGTTAATCAGTTTATTATGAGACCTGTATTGTCTGATTATTATCAGGTTTGTATTGTGAGGCCTCATCTCAAGTAGGGTGTGCATTTTGGGCCTCAGAATGTAAGAAGGATATAAAAGTATCAGAATGTATCCAAAAGAGGGAAACAAAGATGGTGAAAGGACTAGAGGGCAAGACTTTTGAGGAGCAGCTGAGGACACTAGGTCTGTTCAGCTTAGGGACGAGACTGAGGGGTGACCTCCTTGCTGTCTACAGCTTCCTCATGGGAGCAGTCAGGGAGGTGCTGCTCTCTCCTCCCAGGTGACAGGGCATGAGGGAATGGCTTAAAGCTGTGTCTGGGAACTTGAGATTGGATGTAAGGAAAAAGTTCTCCACTGAGAGGGTGGTCATGCACAAGAACAAGCTCCCCAGGGAAGGGGTCATGGCCCTAAACCAGTTGGTGTTCATGAAGTGTTTGGGCAATGTTCTTTAGTTACATCATGGGATAATTTTTAGTGCCCTGTGTGGAGTCTGAAGTTGGGCTCAATGATCTTCCTGTGTTCCTTCCTGCTTGGGATATTCTATGTTTTTGTGATTCTGTTGTGATTACTCATTCAAAGAAACCTAAAAGCAGACTGAAAGTAAGAGGATAAAGTGAGTTGGAGGAAAGATCAGATGTGTAGCTCTTATTCAGTAAGACTGTAAATCTGGAGCAAGTCACATGGAGGTGGAAATCTGCTGATTCTGGGGGTGTTCTCCAGCATTCTGCTTCTGTGTCATGGTTTCAAGTTCTCTTTTAGACCTTCTTGACAGAACAGCTTTTGCAGAGAAGTGTGCTGGAGAAATGCTTGACAACCGTGGCAGCATTTTTTGGGAAGGCTATTTATAGATTTCAAGTGTCCCTTGGTAGATTGCTTGGTAGGTTCATGTCTTGGAACAGATCCATGCTTCCTTTTTGCATCTTTGTGCAGTTGATACCTAATGTCTCTGTGAGAGATCATTTGGACTCACCAACTATTCCATTTACTTTTTTTAAATATGTATGTGTGTGTGTGTGTGTGTGTGTGTGTAGCCACAGATCCTAGACTCTTATTTTTAGTGAAGAAATGTGCAATAGATACAAAAAGGTGGAACCACAGTGCTTTCCAGTTCTGTGATTTTTGTGATGAGATGCACAGGAATTTTCATGCAGAGGAAGGGAGTATGGGGAATATGATATTTCTGTACTTAATATTAAAATCTGTGGTTGTATTGAGAGGGGAAGAGTTGGGTGGATTTTGTTTGTTTGTATGTATATTTTGTTTGGTTTGGTTTGGGTTTTTTTGGTGTGGGGAGAAGGTTTGGTGTCTGAAGAGGGTTGTTTGTTTTTTTTTTTTAATTAAATATTTCCTTTTTGTAGCCTCATCATGTACGATAATTTCTCCACATAGAGCACAAGGATAGTGACGGATATATTTCAGTATTTAACTAAAATTGTCTCATCCGAAGTACAAGCTCGCTGCACTGTCTTAGTTCTATGTTTTTATAGCAGTGAATTTTTTATGCTTTTACCTCAGATAAGTATTAGTGAATATTTTGCAATTCTAAAGAATTATTATTACAGGTGAATTATTAAGAAGAATTATTGTTATTTCAAGATAATTATTGTTATTATTATCTTGAAAGGATACATACTAAAAAAACAAAATTTGTCTTAGTACTCTGGTATTTATTATGAAAGTAAATTCTGTTGAGACTCTTTAAATGCTGCTTTGAGTGTTTATGCAGTAGCTCAGGAAAAGGAATAACTTCGTTGTGTTGCTCCTGGAAAACTGGCTGGTGACAGACTTTTATTAGGACAAGTCTTTTTTTCAGAATACATCGTGTAAGAGTGTTTTCTTTGTTAATAGTGTGTGGAGTAGTGGAATGGGTGAATTTGAATAATAATTGTTCTTCCACTTTTCTCAGCAGAAGCTTTTGGTTACAGAGCTCAGGATTGCACTGGTTTTTTCTCATATACATAAATATTTACCAGGGAGAGCTGGCAAAGATCTGCTGGGACCCCAAGCCTATGCTCCCGCCAGGAGAAGGCTGTCCCCAGCCATATGTTCTGGCAACTGTTTGTGTACATCCTGCAGCAGTTGCTAAACAGTTGGTACTGTTTTCCTTTAAGAATGTGCCACAAGGTCCAGGACTGCACTGCATAGCCTATAGAAAAAAAAAAAAAAAAAGAGAAAAAGATAAAAAAAATTCCCCCACCCCCTCCCCAGTGTAAATTCAGCTGGTTCAGCAGCAGCCCCAAGCCGGGCATTGTTTGCTGTCGGAAGTGGGAGCTGAAGGGACGGACGTTCCCCCGCTCAGCGGGAGCGCAGCGCAGTTTTGCCCTTGTTGCATTATTAATGGCACGATGTTTTTATGTTGCAGATGGCTAAGAGCTAGCAAGGCAGAGCCGGGACCATGATGGCTCAGTTTCCCACGGCCATGAACGGTGAGTAGCCGCGCTCGGTTTGCTTAGGTCGGGGTGGGAGGTTTGGCTGGGTTTTGTGTGTGTTTTTTGGTACCTGCAGCAGCGTTGTGGTCACTTGGCTGCAGATCGCTTCCCGTAGCCCAACCTGTGCTGTGAGGCTGGGAGAGACACGGCAGAGGCATCACTGCAGTGTAATTTGGAGTGGGGAAACGCCGGGAGTGTCTGGTAATCTCGGATCGTTTAAAGGGTTGAGGAATGTGTGAGTTGTAGTGTGAACACTGCCTGACTTCAAGTGGGGAATATGCTAAGTAATAGTTGATTAAACTTGCATACCTTTTCTGTTACGTAATTCAGCACAAAACATGTTCCATTATAATCCATTACAGTATTTATTTTAAACAAAATATTTGAGGGCGTCAAGCAGTTTGTGACACTGATGAAAACAACCAGTCTTTCTCAATTGAAAAAAAAAAGTTAAGAATTTTCCTCAATTAAAAAAAGTTAAGAATTTTTCTCTTCATTTTGTGCCCCTTCCTCTATAGAAACTTTTGGATTTGTTTCTTGGTGATTTGCTTTCAAAGACATGAGAGTTGGAACCTTGAAATTGCTTATGTGTGTATGTATGGGACAGAGCTTATTTGTGAAAATATGATTTGCAAAGATCTGCTCAGAAATTTGACATTTGCATGTTGTTGTTTACAGAGCTGGCCAAAATGAAAGTACAAGTATGGAAACAATGTTTTGCATTGTTTTGCATATTCAGTTATTCCCTATAAGGAGTATTTCTCCTGATGAAAGTGGGGACATAGATACAAGAATGAGTATTTCTTAGCTCATTTGTCTGTGAAGGTTACTGCAGGACTGGGAGGTCTTCACTGAACTAATTTAGAAAATTGTCACTGCTGAGATAAATTGGGTGAGTAAGGGGAAGGTGTTTTGGTTTTGTTGTGTTTTTTGTTTTTTTTTTTCAAAAGAACAACATTAAGATTTCAAATTAACCCTACCTGTTTCATATGTGCATAAAACATTTTGTGAAAAAAAAATCGTTGTGATCAACACTTTATTTCATACAGTCAGCTGCAGTTTGTTCCAGACTTTGTTTCGCAGACCTAACAAAAAAAGAAAAGGAGTCAATATGTTTTATAATAGGGGAAAAATTATGTCCACCTTATTGGACATAATGAATTTTTTTTATAATTGCCACATGCTTTTTGCTTCTCAGTTTAAAATAAACAATCAGAAATTCTCTTTGGGGAAGGTACAAATTCATATCCTTGGCTGTCTCCGTGTTTGATGTGTGAATAAGTTATTTAGTGTATTTGTTTTGGCTTTTCACTCAGTGCTGTTGTAGGATTGCAAGTGTATTGACAGCACTGGGCACGTACATGACTTGATCTCAGAAGCCTTAGTTTGGGAGAGTGATCCTTCCCTTGATCTGAAATCCCCTGGGCAGTACTGTCTGCTGCTCTCAAAGGGAATGGTGCCAGGGGATGCTGCCTTTCCCCTCACAGAGTTTTACTGTGTTGAAAGGCATAGTAAGAGAAACACCAGGCAATAGTTAAGCTGTTGCTCCTCACAGAATAGTTGAATGACTCTGTGTGTGGTTTTGTAGCCATATTTCTTATCAGAATTGATTACATTTCAAACAAGTCAGGTGGGGAAAAAAAGAATAGTTCTAATGTGATTTCTGGATAAATACTGAGCAACCTCTGCCCTTGAAATTGTTCTTTAGCCTGTGTTCTGCTTCCTTGCTACTTAGCACTGCTGTAGTGGTTGCATTCAAAGTAGATCACCTGCATTTGCCACTCATTGCAGGAAACCTCTAATTACGTTGTTAGACCTTGGTAGTGACTTGAAGCATGAGATGAGGAATGAGGTTATGTGTGAGGCAACTAAGCCATTAGGCATTGCTGCAGCCTGGGAGCTCTGGCTGCCTGCCTCACCTTCATTTCAGCATAGTGTTGACCCTTCCCTTTTGTCGCCTGCTGGGGGAAATGGTGGTTTTCTTATGGGGGAAGAAACCTCTTATTCCTTCAAGGTACAATATTGTATCTTGATAAGAAGGTAGATTTTAGTTTATGATTAGCATAAGGCATGAAGTAGTTTCTGTTTCAGGTTTCTCTTTCAGGATTATTTTTGGCACTCAGTGTTACAGAAGAGTGAGTGGATAGTGTGGAGCAGATGGGTGTACAAGTGTGTGATGATATGACACAGGGTGATAAGGAGTTTGAGAACTGCAGGGTTCAAATGTCAAAGCATGATACTCAGTCTCAAATACAGGAGATGCTACAACACTTTATTTACCAGCCTAAGCAGAGAAAGCCAGTCTGCACAAGACGCTGAGAAGGAAGAGTAACTGAGCCGTGTGCTTGACTTCCAGTGGAGAGATTCAGCTTTATTGAGGCACCTTCAGAATATACCTTGGCTGAGCAGGCTCCCAGAACTGTCCAGCTTCAGCATGTGGCTGATGGCCAAACTATGTGCTGTACTGAGAGCTGGCACCTTCTGTTGTACTTCTGTGGCCATGTGTAAACTTTAGCTCATTGCAGCGTTGTGTGCTCTAGGGGCACGTGCTCTTGCCAGAACTTTCTTCTCTAAAGTCATGAAAGGACACAGCCAATGGAGAGGAGTTCCCTTTGACTCTCCATTGCTGTCCAAGGTGACCTTTGTGGATGCCTTAATAATAAGCTGGAAATTCAAAGAGGAAAAGCAGGACAAAAGAGTGTGTGTAGATTTCTTTACAAATTTATATCCCATGCAAAATATAAAGGTTATTATTACATTTTATATGAACAGGCAAGGCTGAGCAACATGTGCCTTATGTATAAAGTCTGCCAATTACAGCACCAGATGGATAACATACATTTATCTATGTGGAGTCCAGTTCTATCAAAGAGCCACTCCAGGCATATCCATCTCCACAGTCTGCAAACACGGTCAAGGATTCCCTACTGAGGCTTAGTTTTATCCAGTAACTGTCTGAATATTGATCATTATTTCTGTGAAAATGATAATACAAACCCAGTTTATGGTAGTTGATTCTCCTTACATACAGTTCTCCATCTGGACAAAGCTTTCTTAGGAATTCATCCCAAGTCTTGCAAAAGCTTTTGGAAATGACATTTAGTTAAACTAAATAACAACTATCTTCAATAGTTGCGTTTCTAAAGAAAGACTTAATGTGCTAACCACAAACAAAATTTAAAAGAATAAAGGCTTTCTTTAATAGGTTAAGTGGTACTTCTATCTAATTTGTTTCTGTGATTGCAGCCTTTGTCACAGAGCAGGAAGAAGTAGCCTTCAGTGCCATGGAATGTGTTCTTTCCAGCTGGAGAGCAGTTGCATTATGTTTCTGTTCCAGATCCCCTTCCTTCTTCTCTAGGGTAGATTTGTTCAGGGTTTCATATCAGTGCTGATGCTGGATCTTGGTTTGGGGAGATTTAATCTTAACAGACCAGCTGGAACAAGGAAAGCAGTATTTGCCGATCAGTATCTTTCACATTGTTTCCTTAAGTACCACTGGAATTTTTGGGCTGTGTGCTCTTTTTGTTTATGTTTTTATTTGTCCTTCCTCTTCCCTCCTACCACCTGTTTCCTTTCGATACAAATTTTTTGTGGTCCAGCAGGAAAATGTCTCTGATAAACTGAGGTGCAAAAAGTAAGTCATGACTCATTTCATGTGCTTCTAAACCTTCATAAATCAAACTGGATTTTGTGCTGCTCTGAATAGAATTGAGTTTTGTGTCCCCACACTTAGGTGTGTAGGAGACTGGGGTGGACATGAAGGGGTTGTGTGAGGTCCTGGTTTCCCTGTCAAAACACTGATAGGTTCTGCTGCATGTTCTTTGTAAAAAAGTCAGTCTCAAGACTTGTGGTCTGAATTTTTTTTAATTAGGAGGAGCCCTGGTCATCAGAGTTCAATTAAAAGCTGCTTGAATGCAACCTGACTCTTAACCTTGTGTGCACTGTAGATACGGAAACTGTAGACTTGCATATCAACAAGCGTAGATAAAGATACAAATCTGAATTAGACCTTGCAAAGAAAATATCAGAACTTGTTCTTGCACCTAAAAGAAGGAAAAGGAAAGAAATTCTAAGACACGGACAAATATTTTCTCTGTCCTTACTTAGGAATTAATCCTTCTGCTCACTTTTCAATGAGGACGGTGATGTCAATTGTTACAGAGCAAAATTAAAATGCTCAAGTCAGGGAAGTGTATATCTTCCATTATTACACCCTGCAAAAAAGTAGATTTCTAGTTGCGTTTGCCGTATTTTGTGTTTTCTTTAATCCTAACAAGTCAGAAATAGCCCTATAGGATTGCAGAATACGAAGTCTCTTATTCATATTTAATTATGAAGATAATATGATTCACATGGCAGATGTAAGAGGCAATCTTAGGAGGAAGAAATAATTAGATGTAGAGGTAAATGTTAAATGGAGTAAATGGAATCAGGTTTTACAAGGGAAGGTTTTAAAAAGGAAAGGTTGTTACTTTATGCCTTCTTCACTAACTGAATTTTGCAGAAAAAGTGTAACAAGATCTCAGGGTTGGACTTCATTAGGGAAATAACTGGCTAAAAGGGAGAGAAAATGCAAGTTTTAAACCGGAGTGTTGTAATCATTATATTCTTCATGGATTTTATCTTAAGGCCAGTCTTAGTTATTATTTATGGCAATGTTATCAGTAAAAAGCAAATGTATGCTGGTTAAATTGGGTGATGTCATGAACTTTGGAGTCATTTCCCAGCCAGAATTACACACTATGGACCACATATCATTGGCTAAATTTCATCACGTTTCTGTTGTGCTGTCTCCAAGTAGCATTTTAGCCACAGCATTATGAGCTGGAAGGATTTTTGCTGTATGCTGGGAACTCAGCAGTTGGCTGTGACTAAGGAGGAAGACAACCGGATGTATTGGATGATCTGGTAGTAATTACGTGATTTGAGGGAAAGGAAATGCATCCTAAAATGTGGTGGGTGAAATAAGGAGTGCTGTGTGCTATTGCCTAAGGCAC